AAACTCAAGCTTGAGTCTGAAGAATCTCAGGACAGTGCACAAACTCTGTTGCACCGGCAGTGATCCTGAGATATATTGGGTAGATTTTAACTCAACATTTTGAGTTAGGCTGTTAGGCTACTCTTTTCGATTTCCTACTGCCAGGGAATTTTTTAAGTGCGCAAAATACACACGGGCATCTGGTCTTACTAATCAGAGACCAGGGAAAATTACTACAAGTTAATGTAAAAAAAAAAAAAAAAACCTCACCGGGACTTGAACCCGGGACCTCTAGCAATAGAGACGGACACAATGCCTCTGTTTTTCAGCCTAGTTATAAGTCAACGAATATCATCGGTTAATTAGAACTCCAGTTGTACCGCAATCAAGTTTCACAATCGATATCCCAACTGCCGGAAATTTATTCCACAAAAACTATCACAAAACGATGGACAGTGAACTGGTGGCAAACTTCATTTCAGATTCACCACTCTATTTATTCCACAAACTCCACAAGAGTTACCAAGCGCTGGTCATTATAAATGTAGGGTAATTAGGTTAGTTCATAAATCTCCCACTCTCATTATGGTAATCCATATGAATCACATCAAAACATCAAGTTTCTTAATAAATCTCTCACTCTTATGCTCGCAATTCACGACAAGCATAACAGATTTTCACAATAATAGAGGACAATCAAATCTCCTGATTAATCTTCTACGATCAGAACTAACCCACAAGAACCATCAAGAGATTACCACAAGATGTACAACATAGTGAAGTTTCTTGATCAATCTCGCCCTTCCACACTCGTAATCCACAAGACCGCTCAAGAGATGCTTATAACAGATAGATAAAACTCTAGTTACATTACAGATTCTTTATTCTGGGTATTGTTATCCACAAGATGACTGGAGCATATTGCGGTTTCGATATGGATTCACCACTTTATTCATTACAATCCACAAGAATAAACACGATTTTAACATTACTAACGTTATTGTTAGCCAACTCTGTATTCAGTTCCTCACTTTAGTTGTTGTACTCTGAAAGAATTATCAAGATATCACCAGCATAAACAACTGCTCTTAGCTAGCAGCTGTACCAGGAAAGAATCATCAAGAGTGTAAATGTGTTATTGTGTACTACTTTAAACAAGTTTCATGCTTGGCTCAACACTCTAGCAGTTGTACTTTAAAAAAGAATAATCATTAGATTGGCGGACTTCAGGTCAATATGGCAGATAGGCTGACGTACTGTTTTTAGTCGTAGCATGCATTTTGCTGCTGATAATTGTTAGCCGCTGCATTTATCCATATATGGACATAAAAGGAGATAGTTCCGTCGCCCAGCTACTGGGTTGAGTGGATTTCATTTGGAATGCTTTTTGACTGCACCTTTGATGATTTCTTCATGTAGGATTCTCATCTTTCAGGTTTTAATCCTGCCGACTGGATATCATGGACGGGACAAACTTCAAGAAGAAGAAGAACATAAAAAATACAAAGGCTCAAACAGCGGTAACGCCATGTGTCCTCATTAGAGGTAAAAGGACTATTTAAAAATTCCAATATAACAGGGTTGGGGTTCAGTTGTTGGTGATTTCGCAGTAAACTGCATTGTTTGATTTCAACAATACAAGCTAGTTAGTCGACAGATTACCCTCATTGCACATCAAACCATTCGGTCCATAAGTGCTCGGATACCCTCCTCAGTAGATCCCATGGCTGCCACTTCTGTATTGGTTTCTTATTCTTCTTTGGCTTCTTGGATAGTAGTGCTCTTACCTGGCCACAGCTCTTTTAACTATTTGTTCTTGCAGTCTGGTCATTGTTGCAGTCATCAGTTGGCTCTTGCAAACGACTTTCTTCCCACAGAGCAGTCAGAATATCAGCATGGTTCCAGTCTCGTCTGTCCTTTCACGGCAGCTTTACCGGCAAGGTTATCAACTTGCTCATTTCCTTGCACATTTGCGTGCCCTGGCACAAATATGAAACGGATACGTGTCGGCTCCTAACGCTTTAGGCACTCCAACCACTGTCTTCGGACACACCCTATCTTTTTTTTTCTTAGCATGCTTATCGAATCACAAAGTAAGCGTGGAGAAAGGTCTGTGTCTCCATCCATGTTGATGCTTTGGTCACTGCAATTTCTTCCATTGTCAGACAGCTTGTCTTCAACAAAACTATGAGCCTCGAACCGTTTAGAATGGCAAAATGCAGAAAGTAAAATTGCCTCGTTAAACCACAAACAGACGAGGTTGATTCGCCTCGTCCTAAAAAAAATATGCTACTTCAGTGATAATAAATTCTGTGAAAACTGACGAAAGTTTGTCACCGGAACGTTCTCTCTGATTCCCCGTATGGGTTCAATTAACACATTTTGTGGGAGGAATAAAAAAAGAATACACTCACTGTTCCCCTAACAACCCTTTTGTGAAATGCAACTAATTAGGGTTTGGTAAAATTAGATGTCGATGGTCTATAGTTGAGGATATCGCAGCCTAGCTGTAAACTACAACACACGTGCCAACCGAGCGTGAACGCAGAAGATAAAGTCCTCTCTAAATTTTTGTGTAAGCAAGTTGGCTAATAAGTTAATCAACCGACCATCGCACTTCAGACAAGTTCCATAAGCGCTGGGATCCCCTCTTTAATATCATCGTGTGGCGACTGATAACACCAGTTCTGTTTTAGTTTTCTATTCTTTTTTGGCTACCTGCATAGTGCTCATGTCTGCCAAAACCTGAAGTTGTTAGAATCTTATCAATTTTGTCGATTCACTTTTATCTTCTGAAGTATCTACTTGTTCTCCTTCGTGAAAGAAACGAGAACATCAGTCCGGTCCTATTGCCTTCCTGTACCTACCGTGGCCCTACTAGCAGGCCAATCCGCTCGTTGATTTCCTCATACTCCGGAGTTGCCCTGGCACAGAATTGAAACCGATTTCTGTCAGTCGAGGTGTCATCTTAGATTCCAACTATTGACTTCGAGCCCTTCACGTTACTGTTGTAAAGGAAACGAGTAAACCTGCGGTCCATGTGGCAGATAGGCAAGATTAATGTTGTAGTCGTGGGAAGATTTTGCTTTTGACAATTGTCGGCCGTTGCATTGTCCTCTACTTGCAGACTGAATAGATATAGCTCCGTCGCCTTGCTTCTGAGATTAATGCATGGTGCGAGGCTATGAGATGCAGATATCACTTGGAATACTTTTCAGTTGTGCAAAATTTGTCTCCATCTTGAACTGCGGGTTCAAAAAACATCGAGCAGCCTGTTATCATGTAACTGGCATTGCCTTATGCGGAGAATTGCGCTTGCAATTACGAATCTGTAATAACTGCTGCTTCCACTGATGCTGCACTCATTTCTAGTGTCGGAATCTTTGTGTTGGCACTTATGACGGCTGCTTCATGCATTTAATGCCTGTGTATGCCATTGAATTTGCCGAGACTACAATCTGCGTCAATTATTTCACAAAGGGGCAGTGATGGACATTATGTTCGGTTCTCTTGGCACACGAACAATAGCAAATATGGCGTGACCGGTCAGCTGGCACACGAACAATAGCAACTATGGAGTGACCGGTCAGCTGGCAACACGAACAATAGCAACTATGGAGTGACCGGTCAGCTAGCAACACGAACAATAGCAACTATGGAGTGACCGGTCAGCTGGCAACACGAACAATAGCACTATGGAGTGACCGGTCAGGTCAGAACTAGCAACAGCAAAACACGAACAATAGCAACTATGGAGTGACCGGTCAGCTGGAACAATACAACTATGGAACGGTCAATAGCAACTATGGAGTGACCGGTCAGCTAGCAACACGAACAATAGCAACTATGGAGTGACCGGTCAGCTAGCAACACGAACAATAGCAACTATGGAGTGACCGGTCAGCTGGCACCGAACAATAGCAACTATGGAGTGACCGGTCAGCTGGCACATGAACAGAGCATGAAGTGACCGGTCAGCTCAGACTCTTGCACACGAGCAGAGCAACCATGATGTGACCGGTCAGCTGGCACAGGAACAGAGCATGAAGTGACCGGTCAGCTGGGACTCTGGCACACGCACAGAACAACCAGGATGTGACCGGTCAGCTCGGACTCTGAAACTGTGGTTATCTAATTATTACCTGAAGCGCCTGAATTCCATTCTCATTTTCTCCATCATCGTTTCGCGTCTGATAACTCCATTTCTGTGTTGATTTAGTATATTATTTTGATACCTGCATAGTGTTCGGCAACTCCTCTTTTGAGATGAAAAACTAGTCATGTACATATCATAACATAACCCTTGACCCATAAGAGTCGTGGAGGTGTATTGATGGAAGCACTAGCACATAAAAACCGTGATTATTCTCTGTCTTCTGTTTGATAAATAAGTGTACGATAACTTAGTCCTGTCCATTTCTTTAAATTGTAATTCCAGGTTCTTCTTTGGTCTCCTCTTCGTCAATTCCAACCCCCCCCCCCCTTTTTTCCCCCGCCCCACCAAGTTCCCTAAAGTACAGTCTTTGCAATCGAACCATGTCTCACCATGTGCCCAAACCAAGCTAGCTTGCGACGTTTCTCCACTACAAAAAGAGGCTGCTGATGTCCTGCAAATTTGTAAATTTGGTCTCTGACATATTTATTAGTTTTGTGTTCTAACAAAACTAATTCGGAAAATACGTCTGTAGCATTTACATTCGAAAGCCTGAATCCTCCTATCCAATTACTGGTCATGTCAAGGTTGCCGATTGGCCGTTGTCTCCAAAATTTGCTATCTGTCCCGCCTTCTTGAGAGCAACGGATTGGTCCAACGCTTTCCCTATGCCAAATATGGACTTAGAAGCAAGCCAGTCTGTGACAGTGTTCTCACATGGGACAGGATTGGTCTTGCGTGTGGTTTCTAGCAACACAGGAATGAAGCACTTATGGGATTACCCGTTTGCTATGACACTTGAACTGTGATTAACATGGCTACCTGAAAGTGGAAAGCTGACAACACCCTGTTGTTCTTCAAGTATTTATCATCCATGAATGGATAACCATAAACAGCAGGCAAGGCCACGTAGAGTGTGTCTGAAACTTTTGTTGACAGCACAATATAGCACAAAGTTGAGGGAAAAGTTCAACACCTGCATAAAATTGGTCACGTACGTGACAATCAACTGCTGGTCTTTGTTAGCCGATGTGTAACTAACAGAGAATTTCATAAGTTCACTGGGAGATACCAAGATCAAAAACAACAACACGACTGCCACAAGCGTGGCCGTCACGCTGTTTAACGCTGAATCCGATGGTCTCTTTTGTGATACATTTCTCGTACCTTGATCCCTCAACTTTATCGAGCTTGTAGCCTCGGGATCAGTTCGAAGATCGTTTAATTCAAAGTTGTTTTTGTATCTCTGAGTATTGTTTTCACTGCAGCTGTGGTTTGACCTCTTTTGGCTACCATTTGAAGACACATCAAACTTACTGTATTCGTTAACTTTGCTGCTACATTGTTGTCCATTGTGAGATCTTGTCTCCGGTCGTAAATATTTTAAACTGAGTAATGATTTCTTACTTTCCGTCACCGGTGTCTCCTCCGAAGTCTGAGCGTTCAAAATCATGTTATGTTTAGTTTTCAACCGATGAACACTTATTTTGGTTCCGGAAGAGCTGCAGAAGATGACGGAATGTTTAGGAATCATCTGTTCTCGTAGCTGCTTCGCTTTGTGGATTTGATAAATTAGACAGAAGTTGAAGTAAACTAACGCAGCAGATGGCAGAAAGTCATAGAACGTCGCCCATAAGATCCGCCGGAGTCTCACAAACGCCTCGCTTCGTTCTACCAGAACATAAATTATTCTTCCATCGTAACATGTCACCTGTTCAATCGTTCTCTCCAGGAAGATGGGAATCGTGGAGGCCGAGCAGACAAAGAAAACGATGAAAATGCTCGCCCGGGTGCGTTTAAGGGAAATGAGTTTTCTGGCTTGCAAAGGATGGCAAACGGCGATATAGCGTTCCGCTGCCATGACGACGATGAGCCAGGTACTGAACACGATGAAGAGAGTGATGAGACCGTTGGCCAGGTAGTCGAAGTAGATAAGGTTGTCCCCAGGATCGTATGAAGTCTTCAGTTGGGCCTGTAACAGACAGGAAACAATTTGTTAAGTACGAGAATATATAAATACAAGAGTGCATGTCGTAAAAGGAATAGGTTAGTCTTAGTCTAATTGGAGGTTTCAACTCCACTGCAATATGGTCAGCCCCCCCCCCCCCCCCCCCCCCCACCCTATATCCCCCCTTACCGTTTTCTGGTTTTAAACTCAGACAGAAAGTTATCTTTTTTTTTTTTTTCCCAGAACCAGATCTGTCTTATTTGTATGCACATGACCTCTCATGAAGAAGCTCTCGGACTTCGAAGTATAACCCCCCTTAATTAGTAAATTCTGACCACACTCTTGTTAGAGGCAGTAGTTCTTCACAAACACCCCCTATTCCCTTCCCCTTTTCCCCCCACCTACAATGGTAATCCGGAACACCCACAGGGACAAAGTACTTCATACAAACAAAGAAGCAGATATAATGACAAGGGACACATGTGTGTATAAACCAGCTGGCTCTCATAATATTTTGGAGTCCTCATTACACCGGTTGACTTTACTTTCGAGGACATTTCCTTGTATTCATTCTGGTCTGGGTTGACCAAGAAACCAAGAGCTTTTTTTAAACTACCCGTTGCAAATCGATCAGTCAATTTGTCCCCTCCGCGATGCTACCCGATGGTTTCCGATACTATCATGAGATTTAAGAAATCTAATTTGGCCGGCAAACCAACAAGGCAGGTCCCAGATAGCCCGTTCAACCTCCAAAGAATTTATAATTAGGCCCAGGGCTTCCAATACAGAGCGGTAGAGACAGTGGTGGTCACCAAGACTTTCTGTCACTGTCAAGGGGAAAACAGGGAAATTAGACCTTGTACTATGTAAATGAAAAATATGGTTCATTACACTATTGTCCCTATGTGGGGAGAAGTGTGACCCAGGGTGAAGTAGTCCCTATGTGTGGAGAAGTGTGGCCCAGTGTGAAGTAGTCCCTATGTGGGAGAAGTGTGGCCCAGTGTGAAGTAGTCCCTATGTGTGGAGAAGTGTGGCTAGGGTGAAGTAGTCCCTATTTAATTACCTTCTTCTTCGATCCGTCTGAGAGAGAAAAAAAAAAAACACATATATATCAGGAACCCCGTGGTCTTGATAAAAGCTGTCGTGCAGTCCACATTTCCCCGTGTTTCATACAGTTTTTTTTTGGTTTAAGGTTGGAACACTCGTCTCTCTAGCGTAGTTGGTTAAACCTGACATCGCGGTGACCGGGTGACGAACTCCTTGTAGTCCGGGTTCACTCCCGGGGGTAGGCAGAAAAGCCACATTTTCTCCCAGATTCACGGTACTTTTCATGGAATCAAGGCCGAAGGGATGCGATATCCATGGTACCGAGCCAAAGGGTTAACAACTCTTGGTTTCTGGATATTAAAAAAAAAGAGGGTTGGAACAGGCCAGAAGGCGTCTCTGTTGGCAGCAGTCGACAGTGCTGGAGTACATACATGCTGAACATTTTCTGTTGCCCAGTTGCAAGGACACATCATTGTATATTTGCTATAGAAAAACTTAAACATGTGGTTGACTAGCCTTGCTGGGTGCTTTACTAATATCCTACCCCAAACAGAGGAAAACCTCAGGTCACGGAACAGTCTAATATGTCAGGGGGTGGTAGATAGGCTGGATGCATTCGTGGTACCTAGGCTGCACTCTCTCTTGGGACGTGGGTGGCTTTGGTTTAGGGCCAGTTCTAGATGTTTTGTGGTCGTTAAAAGCATCAGAAAGCCGAGAAACCCAGTCTGACCACCCTCTAAAATGTTGGACTGTCCTGTGACGTCATCTGAGGGGTAGGATATAAATAAAGAACCCCTTGTTGTGCCCGGTTCTCAGTCTAAAAATGACACAGTGTCCCTCTCTAGACAGGTCATAAAGCCAGTCTTGTGGTCTTATGTGGGAATATATAACTCAGACTCGGAAAAAACACCAACAACCTCAGAACATAAATGGTAGTTGGAGATGTTTTAGGGTCACAATATGGAAAGGGGGGGGGGGGAACTCTTCGCGGCCAGATGGTCAAGTCGCTTGCCTCGCTTCTCTGAAGGTTGGGGGTTTGTTTCACTGATGCTTCGATAGATTCACGAGTGTAATTGATACGGAAATCCCTGCGGGATCGTCGCCTGAGCGACATAGTCTGTGCTTTGTGCTACGGTCTCTGCAGAAGGGCTGCATTTTTAATCGAATTTAACTTTACAATTAAATAGGAGTGGGGGTGGTGCAGTCTCTTTCTGCCTGCTTTGCCCCCAGTGGAGCATAGACACCCAACTCACAGCCACGTCTTTATATTCTTTGCTGTTCCATGCTGCTGATCCCATGTCTAGCTATCTGCTTCATGCTCTTCTGGCTGCTTTTACCATAGACACATTGTGTTGCTGTAGAGTTTCTCTGATGTTATCTTCCTATCTTGTTCTAGGTCTACCTCTTGATCTGTGTCCTCTGTTTTTTTTTTTTTATTTGCCATCAGATGGCATTCTCTTCAAGTGGGCAGACTTTTTGATTTGCTGTCTTTGTATGTAATTTAGAATCGGTTCTGTGCCCAGTTTATCTGGTATGTCCTTATTACTTATTTTATCTCTTCTGGTCACTCCTTCAGTCTTTCTCAGACACCTCATTTCCATGGGTACTCACTTACTAGAGGCCATTCGACAGCCATTTATATACAGGCATTTTAGCACTGAGAGTTCAGAAGATTGTTCAGTTGGACAGACACCACAGACAACTGAACGTGTGCTACAGACAGATCTCTATATGTAGAGGACATATCCCAGGTGGACAGACACCATAGACAACTGAACGTGTGCTACAGACAGATCTCTATATGTAGAGGACATATCCCAGGTGGACAGACACCATAGACAACTGAACGTGTGCTACAGACAGATCTCTATATGTAGAGGACATATCCCAGGTGGACAGACACCATAGACAACTGAACGTGTGCTACAGACAGATCT